TAATCTCTATTTATATAGTTATGTATTTCCTATTTTAATTTCCTTTATAGATTAGGATTACAACTTTTCCTTTTCCTTATTAGATTCCTATTTCCTTTAAGGATATCTTCTAGAATCCTCTTGAAGCTTACCCAACATTCACCCTCTTAGGCTTCAAGTTGATCTTCATGAGGTCTTGAACTCTGATCATGTCTCTCATCCTTTAAAACTTGATTCTTGCCAAGGCTTTGGTAAGAATATCTGCACGCTGTTCTTCTCCAGGTACATGTTCCACTTCGATCAAACCATTCTCTACACATTCACGAATGAAATAAAAACATTTGTGAATGTGTTTACTTTTTTTGTGAAAAACCGGGTTCTTGGTGAGTTCGATAGCTGATTTGTTGTCAATGCAGATCATCGTCTTCTCATACTTCTTCCCTGTGATTTCACTTAGTAAGTCTTGTATCCATATAGCTTGTTTAGCTGCTTCCGGAGCCGCCATGAACTCTGCTTCACATGAGGACAAAGCTACTGTTTCTTGTTTTTGCGAGCACCAAGTTATGGGGGCTTCTCCGAGATAAAACACATGTCTCGTGGTGCTTCTCCCGTCGTCAGGATCCATGTTGTGGTTGCTATCACTATAGCCTACAATGACTGGTGCTCCTTTCTTGTATGTGATTTCATAGCCTACCGTTCCTTGTAGGTATCTTAGAATCTGTTTCAAGGCATTCCCATGCGATTCTCTTGGATCATGCATGTACTTACTCAGAATCCCTACTGAGAAAGCAAGGTCAGGTCGTGAATGTAAGAGATATCTCAAACATCCAATCCTTCTTCGATACATGGTCGCTTCGATCTCTGGTTCATCCAATCCTTTTGACAATTGTAAACCGAACTCCATTGGTATGTGTGTCGGGTTACAAGCATCTAAACCAGCTTCCTTAAGAATTCGACGAGCATAGGCTTCTTGCTTGATTTCAATTCCATTGATTCCTTGACTTACTTCAATACCGAGATAATAAGTAAGTTTCCCAAGGTCGGTCATCTCGAACTTTGAAGACATTCCAGCTTTAAACTCATTGATGAGCTTCAATGTACTTCCTGTAACATAAAGATCATCGACGTATACGGCCACAATCAAAATTTTAACTCCTTCCTTGCGGTATACAGAACTTTCCTTTCGACACTTCTTAAACTTCAACGTCTTTAGAATTTGGTCATGTTTTGTATTCCAGGCGCGAGGAGCTTGACGTAGACCATAAAGAGCCTTCTTGAGTTTGAAAACCTTATGTTCTTCTCCCTTCTTTTCAAATCCATCAGGTTGTGAAACGTAAACGTCCTCTGTTAGTTCACCATGTAGAAAAGCGGTTTTTACGTCGAGATAATGAATTTCCCATCCGTGTGAAGCTGCTAAACCAATCAACAGTATGATTGATTCTAACCTTGCAACAGGTGCGGAAACCTCGTCAAAATCAATCCCTTCTCTTTGTGCATATCTTTTTGCAACAAGTCTAGCCTTGAATTTGTTAATTGTTCCATCAGCAATCCTTTTGATCTTAAAAACCCACTTAACACCAATTACTTTTACACCATGTGGTTTCTCACTTAGATCCCACGTTTTGTTTTTGTTAATCGAGTCGATCTCTTCTTGACATGCCTTTGTCCATTCGACTGATTCTTTTGCTTCTTGGAAATTTTGTGGTTCATCGTTGAGTGACAAGATAAGCAATTCACATTCTAGATCAGCAAGAAGTACATAGGCGACAAGATAACCAGGAGGATTGCGTGATCGTGTCGATCTTCTCGGTAAAGCTATCTCTGTTTCATCGTTGTCGAGATTCTGCACTTCTTCTACCTCTGTTTCTTCTTGATCATCTACTGGCTGAGAACTATTATCCGTGTATGGTCCTTGTCCATTATCTATAACTTATCCCCATGTCATTCGAAACATTCCTGGTTGACCTTCTTCTTTGTCTACTCCCTTCCAATTCCAAGATTCCTTTTCATTGAAAACCACATCGCGACTTACAACTACTCTTCTCGTTGTTGGGTTGTAAAGTCGATATGCCTTGGTTCCTGGTTCTATTCCGAGGTGGACAAGCGTTTGTGATCGATCATCAAGCTCCTTCAGGTGCTCTGCTTCTACCTTTGCATGAGCAATGCATCCAAAAATCCTAAGATGTTCGATACTTGGTTTTCTTTCTCTTAGACATTCATACGGTGTTTGATTCTTTAGAGCACGAGTGGGAACTCTGTTGATCAAATATGTTGAATGTCTTACAGCTTCCCCCCATAAGTAATTCGGAACATTCATTGCCTTAAGAATGCTTTGCGTCATCTCAATTAATGTATGATTTCTTCTCTCAACTACTCCGTTTTGTTGAGGAGAATAGGGTGCTGTGAGATGTCTTCTGATTCCGTTTGTGTTACAGAATTCTTGAAAATCACTTGATGTAAACTCTCCACCTCTGTCTGTGCGTAAAGTTACAATTTTCTTGTCACACTCCTTCTCGACAAGGGCTTTAAACGCTTGAAACTTCTCAAAGGCTTGACTCTTCTCCTTGAGCAAAATTGTCCACATATATCTAGTGTAATCATCCACTATTACAAAGATATATTGGTTTCTAGCAAGTGTGGCTGGTGATATAGGTCCACAAAGATCTGCATGTAACAACTCTAATGCTCGTTTAGACCTATATTGTGTCGAATTTGGAAACACATGTCTCGTCTGCTTTCCTACCAAACATGATTCACACAACACTTTCTTACACAAGATTTTAGGCATCCCTCGTACCATATCCTGTGTCACCATTGAATTCAACGTTTTGAAACTGATATGACCGATCTCGCATGCCATCTCCATGGTTCTTCTTCTATTCTTGTGTGTAAACATGTTGGTTTGCCAATTTTTAGACCGATCTTGTACAGTCTATTTGGAGAGCGAGTTACTTTGACCAACAAACATCCATTGGGATCGCGCAAAGTGAGGTAATCATCCTTCATTCTCACATCACAGCCGTATTCTGTAGCTTGACCTAAACTTAGAATATTGCTCTTCAACATTGGAATATAGTAGATATCTGTTAGTAGTCTCTGTTCTCCGTTTCTTCCTTCGAAAAGAATAGATCCTTTTCCACCAATACTGACACAAGATCCGTCACCAAACTTCACCATTCCTTTGATGCTTTCGTTTAACTCAGAAAAATACCCTTTTTTCCTGTCATATGATTGCTAGCACCATTATCCAAATACCAGATTCCATCTTCTCTTTTGTTTGACTCGTACTTCTCTGGAATCACCTTCTCCTCATTTAAGTATACGATTTCGTGCATATACAAGGCTGTATCTGCTTCTTCTGTCTCGTTTTTGTTGAGTTCTTGATCTTTTGCGATCTTCACCGGACAATCTGATGCAAAGTGACCAGGTTTTTTGCATCGGAAGCAAACAATGTGAGATCTGTCCTTTGGTTCTTTGTCTTGAGTGTTCCCTCTTCCACGTCCTCTGCCTCTGTTCCCTCTTCCACGTCCTCTGCCTCTACCACGTCCTCTTCCTTTACCACTGTCTCCTTCCGTTTTTGAGAACAGGAGGTTTTGTTGAGTTTCTTGTGCAGCAGTTTCTCCGTTTATACGAGATTCAAAAGCTTTAAATCTCCCAACAATGTCCTCGAAACTAGTTTTATTTAGGTCCAAGACTTGTTCAAGAGAAGCAATGAGATGTATAAACTTATTGGAGGGTAGACTGTTTAGAAACTTCTTCACCAATTTTGGTGCATCAAGAGTTTGACCAAGAGAAGCTGCAGTCGATGCTATCTCTGATAACTTTCCTGAGTAACTATCGATAGTGTCCGAATCTTTCATCTTCAAACGCTCAAATTCAGACATTAGGGTTTGGAGGCGAGCTTCCTTGACACGTTCTACACCTTGATTCAGTGATTTTATTGCTTCTCAGATGTCTTTTGGTGAATCTTGTTCGCCGATTTGCAGAGTAAGGTTCTCCGGTATGGACTGGTACAGCAAAGCAGTTGCAATATCATTCTTCTCTTCATCATCCGTTCCTGGATCAATTGCGACCCAGGTTTTGTAAACTTTCAATGTCGCCTTCATCCTCAACGTCCAGACTGTGTAATTTGTTGTGTTTAACATCGGACATTGAACGGCGGATGTTGACGCCATCTTCTTGACCTCCGGTTTTGCATCTGCCATGATTCGTAAGAGTTCATTTTCTCTTCAGGATTTCGCTCGGATACCAAATAATGAATCAAAAACACAAAACCAAAATTTGAATAAAAATCCTTCATTATTAATGTTTAGAAAATCTTCTCAAAACTAAACACAAGTATTCTCTTTGCTCTTATGATCATACATCCTTCTTATGATCTCTATTTATATAGTTATGTATTTCCTATTCTAATTTCCTTTATAAATTAGGATTACAACTTTTCCTTTTCCTTATTAGATTCCTATTTCTTTTAAGGATATCTTCTAGAATTCTCTTGAACCTTACCAACAATCTCAACTCCTTTGTCAAGTCGATCGCCAAACCAACACAAAAATTTGGAAATTTCTATAGGATTTAATAAATCTTGTAAAATTTACTAGTTTAAAGAATCTAACATTTGAATTTTAAACTAGTATTTAAAAAACGTTTGAAAATAATAAGATTTATCCTCAGGTTTAAGGCTTGTATTTTTTTCTAACTTTATTTTTTTCATGATTCATTCAATATCTTTAACATTCTAAATGTTTAGCCATCACTGATTCTCTATTCTATTCATAACATGAACTATTTATATTTAACTCATAGAAAACAACTTTCAAAATACTATATATTCATATGTAATACAAAAATACTCCGACACAAAAACCCAACGAACAAAACAACAATCATTGCGAACGATAATTGTGAATTACTTTTTAAACCAACAAACAACAACGATGATTTTGAATTAGTTTTCAATCAATACTTTTAGATTATAAGAAATTCAGACATTATAAATTATACAATTATAATACTATCTTTTATTGTTTCTGTGAAATCTGGTTACAGTCTTTAGACTCCGGTTCAACCCAACGATTCAAACGTTTCAGCGACAAATATACCTGTAAAAATTACCAAATTCCGGGTTGCCCAACAAAAAAAAAAAGTTAATACTTTTGTTATAAGAAAATATTTAGAATTTCAGATGAAAAAAATATTGTAATCAATTTGTAAACCTGTTTATCCCAATCAGTTTGTAGAGTCATTATAGTAAGGACACAAGTTTGAACGAAAATTCCAAAAAGCATTCCTAACCAGACACCCTGAAAGTTTGAGAAAGAAAAAATAGAGATACTTCATCAACTATACTTAAAACCCTTATAAATTTATAGTAAATAGAGAAATCTGCGAAGAAGGTAAAGAAAAACAGAATCAATGTAAGTTTTAGCAAATAATGATAATTACATATATAAAACCAAGAAAACCAGATTCACCTTAACTTGCAAACCGATAACATAGCCAAGAAAAACGCCGGAAGGAATCCCAACAAGATAATAGCAAGCAAGGTTAACGTATGTAACATATTCTTGCCACCCCGCTCCAACAGCAACTCCTGCTCCAGTTATATTACCAGTTCAAACACATATGTTCTCGTTTAATTAAAGATCGATGGTTACATATGTTCCGCACATTACATGACCCTAGACACTTGAAAACCCAAAATATAACTCCTAACTCAAATGTTTTACTCTAAATATTACTTGTCCTAAATTCAGAACATACTTCTAATACACTCTTGACACACGCCATGCGCCGGGCCTAAGTAAATTAGCAATATGAAATTCGAAATGGTGACCTCGCTGATAAATCTGCCAATACGACCAAACTCACCCATGTATTAGATATTGATTTTCTTGATACCCCAAATATTAAACTAGACCGGACTGTATAGGTAAGAGATCTTTGATATAAATATTTAGAGAAGAGATCTTGGAAATTTGATTCATGTCTATTGAATTTTATGAGTTTCGTATCAACACTAGATTAGCAATGGATGAGATTGCTATAACAATTGAAAATGCTAAACATAGAAAAGTAAAATTCAAGAGATGAAGAAGGAAAAATACCAGAGAGAACGGGTTGAACACTATTCAAGAGGATGGAGAAGGCCAAGAGTGGAGAAAGATCAGCTACTTGTGCGGCAACAGCTTCACTTGTTGTGAAGATGTACGAAACTCTTCCTCTTAGAAACAAAAAGACGAAGAAGAACATAATTCCTATGGAAAGTGACGTTAGAATTGCTGTCATTGTTGCAAACTTGGCTTCTTTTGAATTTCCACTTCCTATCTCGTTTGACACTCTGACACTATTTGTATACAAAAAAAAATCCAAAACAAGGAAAAGAAGAGAAGATAACTATAACAAAAAAAAGCATCAATAATCATAATATACTCAGGAGTTCTCGATCTATTGAATATGTGTAATTATGTATGCACCTTGCTGCTGCCATGAAGCCGATGGCCACCATCATCTCCAGTCCATTTATATTGACACTGTGAAAATGATCAACAAATAAAAATGAATGTCAAAATTTTAATTTAAGTGATTTCATTTAAAAGAGAAGAAAGCGTAAACGTTGTTTACCAGATTGAAAGTGCATCCAGAGCAACCTCTGCATTGTCTAAGCCTCCACCAGTAAGCAGAACCAGTATCGTGTTGTACCATAGCTCCAAGCTGTTCAAAATAATATCACAAAGGAATTATTAGGCATGCATCCTTCAATACTATAGCAATCAAAGCAAATGTATATATCAAAACTTGCTTTTAATTCACCCAACAAGATAAAACCAATAAATATTACTACCACATGATTCCAATCAAACATCTATATGTATGACTGAGAAAAAAGGTGATATATGCAATGCAAGTATGTATGTGGTTACCAATTTATTTCTAAATATTTTACGAGTCGAAACTAATGAGCAAAAGTATAGATATCATACCAAATCATACCACCAGAAGACAAGGATAGTTTCAAGACAGGCCAAAGATCCTTAAAAGCCAGCCAAGAAAACCCCATCCACGTGTCCTCACACCCACCGCACGTGACGAACAAGAGCTGCGCAATGTTAGGAAACCAAAACGCTACGAGCATTGAGGTCATAGCACCATTGATCCCAAAGTCAAAATAAAACATGAGAAGCCACGATAAGAAGAAGTGGACTCCTAAGGAGACAGCAGCCACGTAGGCAATAATCTTGTTCTTGCTCTGCGCTTGGAGAAACATTTGGCAAGTGAAGGATGGTATGTACGAAAAGTTGATTCCTATGACCCACAGAGCTATTATCCGAGCCACACGAACAATGCGCTCCTCTTGACCTAAAGCTAAGAGGATAGGACCCGAGAAGATGTAGACCGGCGTGATGCAAATGGCACAGCCTGTGAGGACGATCCATGATCTTTGGAGGTAAATTCCGAGCATATGGTATTGTTTGGCTCCATAGGCTTGACCACATAGTGTTTCTAGTGCACTGGCCATACCTAACTGCATGCATATACATATAGCTATTGTCATTTACAGTTTGTTGTTACAAGATAAATATTTCATGATCGATGAAAGGTTTTGTGGCTGTAAATTTTAAGATCTGTAGAAGAAGAAATCAAAATTTGCCACGGCAAGCAGGACAAGAAGTCTATGTATGCATTCACGTCACTTGTATTACTATTAGTTAAAGTTATGTCATCAATTACAAGGCTGTCCCGATGAAAAGGAAACTAATGCCAACTATCTAACAGAAATATTTTAATTATTATCACGAACTTGAAACCATAACTTATGGAAAGTTAAAAAAAAAACATTTATATCAAGATAAAAGATGATAAGTCCAACTGTCCAACTTCGTTTCTTTTTCTAAAATCCAACTTTGGTGACGACATAGTATAAATCCAAAACAAAACGGCATCAACCATAACACATTATCACGAACATATATGAACACATTTTACTTTAGGGAAAGTTGCAAAAAAAATATTTTTTATGTAATTTCAACCAAGCTTAAGTTTTTGAATACAATATAGTCTCTCTTTTTTTCTTAATCCAATTTTGGTTACACAATTAAAAAAATACAAAACCAAACAGTGTTAGTAATGTTTTTTCATGAAAATTCATGACATATATTTTCACAATAAAAACAGAATGACACCAGATGAAAATAACAAATAATGTTTAAATTTATCTAGCACGTTTTAATTTAATAACTAATTAGACAAATTTTTATTTATCTACGATATAGTAGATAATTTTTTTTTGCCGTGTTACCAAAATTTGAGTTTAAAAATCGAAAAATAAGAAGTTGGTGTAAAACTTGATTTTGGTATAACTTTTTTTTTTCTAAAATATTTTTGTGTAAATTAAGGTTTATTTTTGCAATTTTCTCTTTAATTTATTGTTTCATATGAAATTATACTCTCATATACCAATTAATTAGATTAGAAAAAATGGATAAAATTACAGAGTAGTGTATCTCACCAAGATACCATTACTGAAACGGAGGAGCACGGTGAAGCTGATGGAGAAAGCCGCCAACTCGGTGGGGCCAAGGTGGCCGATAAAAGCTTGAGTTATCAAAGATACACCGAACGTAGAGAACCTCGTAAAGATCGCCGGCGCCGCCACAATCCATAGCTTCTTAGATTCCCTCCAAACTTTCTCTCTCGTGTCCAACGACTTAAACCCATTCTCTTCTTCGCCGTTCTCCACCGTCTTATTCAACAGAGTCTCCGTCACTTCTTCTTCTATTCGGGCCATCGCATAGAGTGAATAGGTTTGGAGAGAGGAGAAAGTTATGTTTGGTTTTTTTGTTCTGTTTATGATTATCACTTTGTATCGAAGGTTGTTTTTCTACTCCCAAGAAATTAAAAAGTTGCCTGCGTAACAATGTAACATGAGTGTTAAAAACTTATAACTCGTGGGGTTGAAAACTAATGTTATACCATAATTAAATAACAATAAGTGCCAAATGTTTTCTTTCATCTTTTTGTTCAATTTATTTTGAAAATTAATTTCATTAACTAAGATAACTAATTTAGGTATTCCATAATTTGATTAAAAACTAGAGTTAAATTGCAATCACTGATAGCAAAATTTAAAACAAGATGAACACTCTTTTTACATTGTGCCACAATATCAAAATAAAAATAAAAACGATAGAAAAATTATCTGAGAAAATAATTTCATATCAGAAAATAAATTTCGACTAAACTACAACCCCCCCCCCCCCAAAAAAAAGTACTTTTAGTACATCATAATTGTAACCTGTAAGTTTGACTTGTTTATTCCAGATGCCCCTGACATTGCATTGAAAGAAACTAGTTTTCCATGAATTTTTATAAAGTAAAATTTATTGCAATATATGTAGTTGACTAAACAAGTTTTGTGCTTAATATATTTAGTTGAAAAGGACATTTAATAAATTTAAACTTTGACTAAACTACAAACAGAAATAATTTGAATAAATCATGGGCTTAAAAAGCAATGAATTTAAATTCTGTTAAAATCATTACTGTAAGGTTGACTTATTAGTACCAAAATATCGGTAATATTGTGTTTAATAAGTTTTACATGAAATTTGACTGAAATATACATATGAGTAAATGTACCAAAGTCGTCATCATACTTTAAATAATTATCTTCCATAATTTTGTTTTGACTACCTCAAAAGAGATTGGCGGTCTTATTCTATTTTAGACATCACACATATATATATATACATATATATATATATATATATAATTGTGTATACAATGGAAGCAATATTAAAACAAAGATTCATCCTAATTTAAGTTCATGACTTAAGACTATCTTAATTAAACAATATACATTTGCGACAAAAAAAAAAAAACAATATACATTTCATTCATGCACATTGTCATTTTTTCTAGTAACCTAGAGATTTCGAACTTTAGGCTCGTGCATCTTTTTAGATTGGGAAACCATAGAAATTAATATTTTTCAAATGTCTCTGTTAAGTTTTAAGTGATGCATTATATAATTTTTTTTTTGAGCACATACAGCTGAGTTTTATAACTAAAACCAACTGTTAAACAATATCCGAAGATCCAAGGTACACAGCTCAATGAATGTTTCGTATATATTGTATATTTATGTAATGTCTTGACTTAATTGCTTCCCCGACAGTCTTATGGTTGACTCTGAGTCTAATAACGTCCGATGATCGGTTTGCAGTATCGAACAATTGCAAACGGTCTTGCAAATCACCATGATTAGTTTACTATGTATTTAATGTCACATTTTAAATATAGTTTTAATATGTCGCTATATTAAAACTATTTGTCAACATATTTAGTTTCAATATTTTTTTTTCTTTTATAAAATGCTCTGGAGAAAAAACTAGATGTAAACTGGTCTTATCAGTTTTCAGAATGAAGTATTTTAAAAAAAATATTCACATCTATTATAGTTTAAAATCTGGATTTTACATTCATTCTTTCTCATAAAACGCGACGTCTTCCTCACAAACCAAGACAATTAACCATAATAGTGTGAACTCATGCGTTCGGTTTAAACTTTGGTACTAATGTTCTTACCTCTCTTTAGCTATTAGTGGTCATGTCTCGTGGCCTAAGTCATACTCTTGGTCCATATATGCAATACTCTCATTGGTTTGCCACTTTCGAAATCTCGTAATTTTTGTTGTTGATCATGTTTTTTCATTTTTAACAGACCGCTAGTAATTCCTAGAGGACAAGGTGAAAATAGAATCACTTTTTAGGCGGTCTAAACACACAAGTGTATACATTCGAGAGTGAAGAGAGGATTAAAATCGATTACAAAGCTCATGTTTTAGCTAAATCTTTATAATTATTCTCTTTGTGAAGTTTGGTTTCGACCTCTGGATTCTGGTTCAACCCAACGGTTCAATCTTTTCAGCGACGAAGACACCTGAAATGTTTTTAACAACAAACAATATCACCAAATCAATTTTGTTTGTTATAGTAAAAAGAATTTCTATTAAAAAAAAAATTCTCGATATGTAAACCTGTTGATCCCAGTCTGTTCGCATTGTCATTATGGTAAGCACACAAGTCTGAACGAAGATTCCAAAAATCATTCCTAACCAAACACCCTAAAAAAAAAAAAATGTATGATCTTGTATGTTTTTAAAAATTTTATTTGCTTTTATTGCTAATTATTTTTAAGTTGAAAGTCAAAGAACTTAATATGAACCCATGTTCAAATAGAGTTGCCTAAATAAGACATCATGGTCCAAGTAGAACATATATTGCCGATTCTAATATAGGATCAAGTTCGAGATGGGCCTGAAAAGCCATCATAACGAATGAGTGTGTTTGGATCTAATAGCGGAAGTTAGAAAAGATCTCAAATAGTATATAAAGACATGAACACTTCATTCATTAATGTCAATTAGTTTTGAGTTGAATATCTATAATACTTAACTTGACTGCAAACAACTAATGAAAGTATACTTACTTTGACTTGCAAACCGACGACATAGCCAAGGAAAATACCGGAAGGAATTCCAACAAGGTAATAACAAGCAAGGTTAACGTATGTAACATATTTTTGCCATCCCGCTCCAACAGCAACTCCTGCTCAAGTTATAACCGGTTCAACATATGCGATGACTTAAAGATAGGATCAATATCAACTATATATACATATAACATTTAATAGGGTTAGAAACAAATACAAGCACTCGTCCTTTTTTTTTTTTTTGAACAGCACATGCACTCGTCCTCTATATTAAATTAGGTTTTAGGTTTTTGGGTCGAGCAGTGGCTAATGAAAATTCATCACATATGAAACTTATTGAATATATAGTTAAAAACAAGAGTATGACTGAATATTGGATAAAATATGTCCAACAATTGGGATAGCTAGTTACTTTACTTGTCCTGCAACACTCAACTCCAAACATTCGTAAGGGATCACCCCCAAACTACCTAAGATACAAGACCTTACCTACTCGATAACCTAAAACACCAGTCTTAAATACTCAAAGATGATCTGAAAATATACATAATCTACCTACAAGTGTTAATTAGATCATTCTAGGTACCCATGGTATTGCATCACCGAGTATTGATATTAAAATCCCTTAGCAGTTTAGACCGTACGGGGTAAGCTAAAGTTCTATGATATCTGGTTCATGCATGAGGATGAGGACATAGTGATTATTGAAAAAGGGAGAAGATGCAAACCAGAGAGAACGGGTTGAACACTGTTCATAAGAATGGAGAAGGCCAATAGTTGAGAAAGATCGGTTACTTTTGCGGCAACAGCTTCACTTGTGGTGAAAATGTACGAAACTCTTCCTCTTAGAAACAGGAAGACTGAGAATAAAATTATCCCTATTGAAAGTGACGTCAAAACCACTATCATTGTCGCAAATTTTGCTCCTTTAGAGTTTCCACTCCCGATCTCGTTTGAAACTCTTACACTATATATTTACGTACATTATTATAAAAGAAAAATAAGAAAAAGAAAGCAAGATTCTTAAATAAAGCATGCATAATCAAAAATATATAGGTTTTCTCAATGTAATTTAAGTATATATATAGTAGAAACGAAATATCATGAGAGAGGATATGAAAACAATTGATTTAGTCTCATTTTTTTTAAGATATATTTTTCCATTAGTTATTAAGTTATCAGGAATAGGAGAATTTATTATATTAACAACTTTGAAATATTTTTAAATATGCAAATTTATTAATTCCAAGATTATCCTTTTTTAAAATTATAATTGTCTTATATATAACTAGACTATAGTATTTTTATCAAAGCTAAATTCTGTATAACTAATAATATGTATGATTGTATTAACCTTGCTGCTGCCATGAAGCCGAAGGCTACCATCATCTCCATTGCATTTATATTGACGCTGCAGAATTTGATGAACATAAAACACTACATCCAATTAACAATCGTGTGTTCAAAACTAGAGAGCCCAAATACGAGTTACCTAAACCTATCATTTTCCTTTGGCATGTCATTAGCTTTCTGACTAATAATCTAAAGATAAATGTACAAATGTTTGAATATAATAACTTCAAAGACAAGAGGCGCCATAGAGCTTATACATATAGCTTACCAGATTGCAAGTGCGTTTAGAGCAACCTCAGCGTTTTTTAAGTTTCCCGTCAGCAAGATCAATATCGAGTTATACCATATCTCCAAGCTGCCCAAAATAATATCACAAAGGAATTACTATCATAGTAAAAAATATATATTCTAAACATGATTAAATTATACACTATAAATATTCAACCTTTCTCAATCTTTGACAAGGTGAATGAATGTACATAGGCAGTGATTAACCAAGAAAGAACCACAGTATTTATAAGCACACGACTCTACGAAAGTATATTTTGCATGACTAATAATATATATATATATATATATATGCTTGGTTAACGAGACATTTCCTAATATTCTACGAGTGGGTGAGCACTATAAGACTTGAAAAATTTAATAAATCATACCAAGTCATGCCACCGGAAGCCATAGATAACTTGAAGACGGGCCAAAGATCTTTGAAAGCCAACCAAGAGAATCCTCTCCACGTGTCTTTACACCCACCGCACGTGACGAACAAGAGCTGAGCAATGTTAGGCAACCAATGCGCTACGAGCGACGAGGTCATAGCACCGGCGATTCCAAAATCAAAATGAACCATTAGGAGCCACGACAAGAAGACATGGACCCCTAAGGAGAGAGCAGCAACGTAAGCAATGATCTTGTTCTTGCTCTGAGCTTGGAGGAACATTTGGCAAGTGAAGGATGGAACGAAAGAGAAGTTGATGCCTATGACCCATAGGGCTATGGTTCGAGCTACACGGACGAGGCGTTCCTCTTGACCTAAAGCTAAGAGGATAGGTCCAGCGAAGATGTAGATGGGCGTGAGGCAAATGGTACAACCTATGAGAACGATCCATGACCTTTGGAGATAAATCCCAAGCATATGATATTGTTTTGCTCCATAGGCTTGACCACATAGTGTTTCGAGTGCACTAGCCATGCCTAACTTCAAATATTTTTATTGACGTTCGTTATTACACGATAGATTTTATTTTATAGAATTAGAAATCTGATAACAATATGTAAACAGTAATTTTTTGTTGGTAAACAGCAATAATTTTTTGATAAGGTCATAAGTTAAAAAAAATTATATATTACTACAGTTCTATATATGTTTGGTGAGCGTTTATATATAGTCGTGTGGTATATATGTGTAAAACCTTGACGCCATTTTTTTTTGTCGCACCTTGACGCCATAATTCGTTCTAATAGTGTATGTAAGATAATGTAAAAAGAAATTATAGAAAATTATAGAAGCATAACAACTATCTTATTTTAACATTAATTATACGCAGCTTTTCTTTTGTTCTACGAATCTCACAGTGGATGCTAACCATTTGGACACTGGTAGCCAAATGATTCTTGTCAGTTGTCACACTTGTTGACAATGTGTCTTTGTTACACTACAGAAAAAGAGGAATATTTCGTCTTATTTTAAAATTACTCTTCTGGGCCATTCATTTAATTTGTGTAATTTCTTACCACATCTTTGTCGAGTCTTTTGGTAGAATCAAATATATTCTCCAACTTTTTTGTAAAAGAAGTATTTTATACACTCCAATTTTTCTAATTTTTGTTGTTTTACCAATTCAATTCTAGCTCACAATGAAAAGTTTTTGCCGCATTTCGAAAGAACAATTCATTGTTTACAAGGTAAAGAACAACTACTAGTGGAGTTCAACGAACTTGTTTATGATTTTATGTGCAAGAACAAAGGCCATAACATTAACAAGAAACGAATAGTTTACTCACCAAGATACCATTACTGAAACGGAGGAGAACGGTGAGTGTGACGGAGTAAGCGGCCAACTCGGTGGGGCCAAGGTGGCCGACAAAAGCTTGAGTTATCAAAGATGCACCGGAAGTAGAGAATCTTGTGAAGATCGCCGGCGCCGCCACAACCCATAGCTTCTTTGATTCATTCCAAATTTTATCCTTCATTTCCAACTCTTCCTCTTCTCCGGCACCGTTCTCCGACGTCTTTTTCAGAAGAGTTTCCGTCACTTCTTCTACTCCTCCGGCCATGGCTTGAGGAGGGAATGAATAGAGAGAGCAGAGTCGTCGTGGAGAGAGGAGAGAGTTTGTTTGGTGGGTTGTTTCAAGGGTCCCATGTTTATCTAAGGAGGAAATGAAAGGAGCAATTTAGTATTTTAGTTCATTGTCTCTGACATTCTTCGGCCCATTAGCTTAATTTGTCTGTTAAACTAAAACCTAAAGGGGCCGAAAATACTACATTAAAGCCCATTAATAAAAGGACCAATAATTGGAGATGGGAGTTACGGACGGACACGTAACTTTTACAGAGCAGGGGAGGCTTTATTGTACTTTTTTTTTACGTCAAACTTTAATAATACTTTATGGAGCCGAACAAAATAACGAATTGTTATCACTTATCACTTAATACAATGTTAATTTTTGTTTAGTATTTACGTGGCTCTATGTAATTCTTCCTAATTATATCTCATATTAGAACTAGTACCATGGAAGAAAGAATATGATCTAGTCTAGGTACTTCTCTCCTCTTTTTTATGTATTATATATTTCAAACCCATGCATAAAATAGATTCTGTTTGGGATCTTAACCTCACATACTTTTAATGAGTTTAAAAAATTCTATATACTCCCTTTTTATTCTACATACTCCTCTCTATTTTTTACCTTTTAACTTTACCTTTATTTAAAAATGGACCTCACTCTCCCTTTAAACCAAACCAATCTCTCACCTCTTACCCATCCCACACCAATTAATTTTGGTTTTACTTTGAACCTACCCAGTCCAACCACCTAACAACAACTAATGTTAATGGGACCCACTTTCTTCTTCTTCTTTTTTTCTTCTCCGTACGTAGAAACCAGGAAAAAAAAATTTTTACAGCCCCTTTGAAGCTTCAGCGATCTTCCTTCAAAACTCTGGAAGCTTCAGCGATCTTCAACCCTTGACAAATACATATCCTGCAGCATTTTTTCAGCTGATCTCGACGACCCAGAACGAGATTTGAAGGTAAATTCTTCTCTTTTCAACAAAAAAACGAGTTTATGCATTTAGGGTTTAGAAATTATGTTTGTGGTTTTTTTTTCTGTTAGTAAACTTATGTATACGTTTGTTCGGGCTTTACATTGGTTATTTAAGTATATTAGAGTACTAGAATACGTATGAATCTTTCGGAAGCGTCGATATGTAACAAGAAGCTTTTAGTACAACTGGTTTTACGTAGACAACTGGTGCAACTAGTACTACTGGTGTACAACTATAAATATATTCTAATGGTTTTTATTTTTCTTTTAAGAGAACGATGAGTAACACTCGATGCACAATTATATGTTTTGATTCGGGGGGATGTTATTCAAAGGACGGTGAATACATGAGGTGGAACTCAGAATAGGTTGAACTTCATACTTTAGTGATAAAGACATCTATGGAAGAGATCACTTACAATGGGCTGGTTGATAAAATTTGCAAAAAGCTTATGGTAGATGGAGCTATGACGCAGCTTAGACTTAGCTACTTTCCACTGATATTGGATCCCAAGAAGCCATCATATGTTCGGAATGATGAAGATGTATTTGGTTATCTAATGCAAGTGAATAATAATCAGTGTAGAAGGGTTTTGCATGTGGAGCTCATCACAGATGTTGAGCAAAATGAGAGATTTGTGCAACCGTCAGAGCCACAACATGGTGATGATGTTAATGATGGTATGGATACTTTTTACAAAGGTGAACCATCAGAACCGCAGAAAGAAGATGTTAGTGAAGATGCTGAAGATGGTGAAGATGGTGAAGATGTTGGAAATAATGTGCATGAAGACTTTGGTATGTATGATGATATTGAGGTGGCACCTGTTGTAGAAGGAGATGTGTACGTGAATCATACATGGGAAGATGGTATTGATTTAGTTGTAGGACAAGAATTTGGCAAAAAGGAGTCATTGCAAGAATTAGTGTTTGTAGCCTCCCGTAAAAATGGTTTTGAGTTTGATATCATCCAGTCAGATACACGTCGATATGTGTTAAAATGTCGTGGAGCAAAAGATGGCTGTAAGTGGTATTTACGAGCTGCAAAGACGAAGAATTCAGATCTTTTCTCAGTTAGAACTTACATCAAGATTCATACATGTTCTCGAGCTACTACAGTTACAAGCAAAAATCGAAGGAAAGGCACACCACAGTTGGTCAGGTCTATTTGTCATTCTGATTATCCAGACAAACTTAAAACTCCAGCACCACAAAAACTGATTGGTTTGGTTCAAAACGCATTTGGTGTTAAAGTATCATATTCCACTGCATGGAGAGGTAAAAGAGCAGCTGCTAATGATGTGCGGGGAAGTCCAGAGGAGAGTTATCAGTTGTTGCACTCTTATTTGTATATGCTAGAGTACATGAACCCTGGTACACGCACTTATGTGGAATTGGATGAGGGAAACAGGTTTAAGTATCTATTCTTTGCCTTGGGAGCTTGTCTTGAGGGTTTCCAAGTCATGAGAAAAGTGATTGCTGTGGATGTTACCCACCTTAAGAATACATATGGTGGTGTTTTAATTGTTGCTACAGCTCAAGATCCTGACCATCACCATTATCCAATTGCTTTTGGTGTAGTTGATGGTGAGAAAGAGGCAAGTTGGATGTGGTTTATGAGCAAGTTGAGATCAGTTGTACCAGATGTTCCTGAACTGGTTTTTCTTTCTGATAGAAACGTAAGTCTCCTCAAGTCAATACGTGAGGTCTTTCCATTGTCTCAGAATGGAGTTTGTATATATCATTTGTCTCAAAACGTGAAAGTGGAGTCAATAGAGCGACTTGTGCGAAGAAGTTCAGAGTTTGTGCTCATGCTTATACAGAGAATGAATTCTTGACACTCTATAGTGCTTTTAAGAAAATGTATCGAGATGCAGCCGACTATCTGGACAGAACTGTTGGTGAGGAGAAATGGGCAAGATGCTATTTTCCCGGAGACAGGTATAACATAGACACCACCAATTGTGCAGAATCTATCAATGGCGTTTTTGTAGAAGCAAGGAAATACTCGCTGTTACCAATGATTGATGTGATTATTGCGAAATTAGCTGAATGGTTTAACAAGTATAGGAAGGCGTCTAATGAAGTTTCTACGGCACATAAGCTTGTGCCATATGTGGAGAACGAAATGCATGTGAGATGTGTGGAAGCAAATACATTGACGGTGCATGAGTTAAACAGCTACCACCTTGAGTACAATGTGATTGGGCGTGATGGAAAGGTTTATCTGGTTGATATGAGAAATAAAAGTTGCAGTTGCAAGAGGTTTGATATCGACAAGTATCCGTGTGTGCATGCAATAGCAGCTGCTATCTTTATGAGCGGGGATAGAGAGCTCCATCTACGTGAATTTTGCTCCCACTATTATTGGATGGAACATTGGTCGTTGGCTTACTGCAGGACAATCTATCCAGTCCCCCATAAAGATGACTGGGTTGTTCCTGACCATATCCGAGCAAAATGTATATTTCCTCCAGAAATAATTAAGAAAAAAAGACGCATCAACACAATTAGGCATCCATCAGTTGGAGAACATCGAGGGAGAGGAAGAGGAAGAAGAGGAGGAAGAGGAGGAGGAAGAGGAAGAGGACTAGGAGCATGGTTGTTTAATGATCCTAATGTATCAGAACAAGAGGAAGCAGAATAGTAATCGCTGGTGATGTTTAGGTACAACTAATATAACTATCGGGTACAACTAGTATACCTATCGGGTACAACTAAACTATTCAGGTACAACTAGTATAACTATCGGGTACAACTAGTATAACTATCGGGTACAACTAGTATAACTATCGGGTACAACTAGTACAACTATCAGGTACTAGATCTTCTTTTTTTTTCATTTTTTCGTTTTATTTAAAATACCGCATTTCGGAAAGCAGTATGTGTTTAAGGATTTAGTTTCATATCTATTTTGATGAAGTAAATCCAACTTGATGCATTTTTGAATATTGAGAACACAAAAGTCATATTTTCATAACGTCTACCTTATACTTCTATGGCAACTATTACAACTAATGCTATATAGTTATAAGAAATTAACAAAATACATAATTTTATACATTTAATTATCTATATGTGTCTTAAATGTCTTATTATTATCTATTTTCAAAAGTACAATTATAAAAATGTAATTTCTAGTACGATATAACTAATAAAATCGTTTTATCTATGAAAGTACAACTCTGTGTAATAAAAAAAATAGAGTACAACTTACCTACTTGGGTACAACTTTGTATATTATTTTGCCGGCGCTCGTGTAATTTGACGGCGCTCGTGTAATTTGACGGCGCACATGTGGCTTTTATTTTTTTTATTTTTTCAAATTTTTTGGGCGTGAAAAATTCTTTTTATTCTAGTTTCAACAACACTAGTTGTACGCGATAATATCAGTTGTACTAACCAAAAAAATCTGAAAACATAATTAAATTAAAACAATAAACCTTCTACTAGTTTCAACATACCAGTTGTACCTGTTTCACCAAACATAGAACAATAAACCTCCTACTAGTTTCAACCTAAACCATCTACTAGTTTCACCAAAAACCAATAACTAGTTTCAACAAAAACCAAAACAAACTTGTTTCTTCTACTTCTTTTTTGCAGCCTCTCGTTTCTTCCTTTGTGCTGGTGCATCATATTCGAAAGGAGTGGATATATGCCTCGATGGTTTACCCTTTCTCCTACTCCTAATGATCGCAGCCGTCCTTTAGACTCAGCACTCTTCCGCATACATATTTTGTAGCGTGGTTTCTTTGGTGGTGGTTCAGGAGTCTCCACTACAGGTGTAGGTGCGTTTGTGGTCTCCAGTGCAGGTGCAGGTGCGTCTGTGGTCTCCTCCGCAGGTACAGGTGCAGGTGCGTCCCTGGTCTCCTCTGCAGGTGCGTCCCTGGTCTCCTCTGCAGGTGCGTCCCTGGTCTCCTCTGCAGGTGCATCTGTGGTCTCCTCTACAGGTGTGTTCGTTGTCTCCTCCATACCCTTATCACCTACATTGAAAAATTTATGTAGAATTTTTTTTGAACATACATTTGATAAAGGAAAGAAATAAATATCTTTTTTTACCTCTTGCATTTGATCCTCCACCTGTTTCATACACTCTCCCCACATCTTCATACTGAAAATCCATAAAATCAGAATCTCTTCTTTGATCAGCTATTTTCATTTCTACAGACTTCAGTCTTGTGTCCATCTCATGAACCTTCTCATTAATCTTCCTAAACCCTTCTTCCATTTTCTCATTAATCTTTATAAACCCTTCTTCCATCTTCTTCAACACATCCTCACTTCCTACCGCTTCAGTATCTGTCGGTTTGGGCAATGGCTGGTCTTCTCGGGATTTAACATCTAATTGGTACAGATCCTTCAAGTGTATCTTCTTCTTTTGTTGGACTAAAATCGTGTGCCAACTATCAACAACAGGGTCAGAAACAGCATCATCTTCTCCTACTTCGAAGTCATCCCATACATGCTCGTCTAGGATGTCAAGCAAGAGTTTAGCTTCTCCATCTTCAGGTACCAAGATACTAATAATATCCTGTTTAACGAAAAATAAAAATTAAACTAAACTAAATCTCTAATAATGTAAAAATATAAAATTAAAGGAGACTCCTAAACCTTTGTATCTCCAAGCACTTCATATATATCAGCTAAAGAAAATCCTGTTTTGCATGTTCTCTTAAACTTCCACTTGCACATTCTTGGACAATCACCATCTGCATTCCAAACTTTTTCTTGAAATGCTTCTTTCAGAACCGGGATAGATTCAAACGCCAAAATCTGCACATATAATCGTACTAGTTATGCCAGTTCTACCAATAATACCAGTTCAACTAGTTGTACTCTAAACACGAGTTGTACCAATACTACTACCTATACACTATATCAAGTTGAACCAAGAATACTAGTTGTACTAATACTACGATTTTTAGTTGTACAAGTTATACTGAATTTAAAACATATAACATTACCTCTAAAGGCAATATGAACCCCGGAAAAGTCCAATTCCCTCGAACAGATCCTCCAAAATGATCCACCAGATGTGCAACCTCAGCTAAGACGTCATCAAAAATGAAACGACCCCAGAGAAACGTTTCACACAGATCCAGATCATCCACCACTCGGAGAATGAATGGGTCTATGGATCCACCATATTTCTTGGACTTTCCTTTGATGACAGTTGCTAAGAAGAAAAGTACAACCATCTTCAACCTATCAGTACCACCTTCTATGAAATCCATTGATTCCAGCTTCTCACGCACCTCTTTCACCTCAATATTAGTCTTTCCAAACTGCTCCTCCACAAAATCCCTAACTGCTCATAGTCGGCTGGATAATGGTGGCAGAATAATCCTGAAAGAAGGCCGTGTTCTCTGATTGAATACCGAACAGGCACACCATTCACAACAAACCAACACTGCCGCTTCTTGTCTGTCACTGCTGTTCGGAGAAGCAACATCCACATTCCCATTAACATTCTATTCTTCTGGATAAACATGTGGACAATATGCTTGAATTGTGGGTGGTTCTCAAACCAGTTTCTCTCTGAGATATCAAGCCTCTTGAAGACTTCCATGAAATTAAAGGTTTCACACCTTGATTGAAGCTTCGGGTATAACAGATACTCGCTTTGCTTGAAGAATAAACCTCGAGGTTCCATTGGTATTGAGACATCCTCTTGCTGCAATCAAAACGCATATGATAAGTGAATATAAGTGTATTGGTACAAATAGTATTCTTGGTACAACCACAACCAAAAATAAGTTGTACGCGATAATTCCAGTTGTACTAAATTACATTTCGTTCAACCACAAGCAAAAATCAGTTGTACGCGATAATTCCAGTTGTACTAAACTACATACCGTTCGACCACAAGCAAAACTCATTTGTACACGATAATTCTAGTTGTACTAAATTACATACCGGTTGTAATGGATCAACATTTGAGTTTGAACCCAATCCTTCTTCTGATGCCGTAGCATACTCAGCCTCAGATCTCTCTGGTTGAGAAGGTGAACCCCTAGTCGACATCCTCCAAAAATTCTGAAACAAAAATCAGAAATCAGTTGTCCGGGTTCAGGGTTGAGGGAAGAAAATCATAAACTAAGGTTTTAATTACTCTTAAGCCTAGAAGATACCTGTTCGGTGATGACGGAAGTGTGAAACAGCGGTGGTGGCGAGCCTAAAACGGCGACGGCGACGAGCCTAAAACAGAAGAGTGAAGAGTGGAGAGTGAGTGGCGGTGAGCGAAGAGTGTGGGGATTTAATTGAAGAGGAAGAAGATGATGGAAGAAGACGAAAATGATGGAAGAAGATGATGGAATCGAAGAATCTGAAAATGATGGAGGATGGAAGAAGAGGATCCGGAAGAAGATAACGGAATCGAAGAGGAAGACAATGGATCGGGAATATATTTAGGGTTTGCTTTCTGGTTTAATTAAATTGGATGGTTTAAAACAGTTAAATTGGTTTAGTTTAATAATTTCGGTTAAATTGGTTATTTAAATTGGATCTTGGTTTGAGTCCGGTATTCTGAATTGGATATGTAATTTGGTTATTCATTAATGGTTTTTTGGTCTTTTTATGCTCTTTTGTATTAAAAAGAAAATCAAAAAGAAAATATGGATATGAAACGAGTATATGAGAATTTCATATAAGGGAGAGGAGTATGTGAGATTAAACTCCATGTGTTTGATGTCTAATATGTATTCATTGATTACGACATAATAAACAAACAACAATCTGATCGTGCACGTAATTGAACATATTTTTGCATTGATCAAAGAAGAGTCTATTTTCTATCGCGATTTATTTTTAGTTTTTTCTCCGGACTACATATTATTCCAGAAATGGAAAAAAAACATCTATGTATAGACGACAAAAAAAACAATCTAAAATATATATATATATATATATATATATATATATATATATATATTGAGAAACTTTTAACTCCTTTTTTTTAACTTTCTCGACCACGTGAAGGAATCTAATGAGTAGACCATGGCCCATGGCCCGTACATAGCCTTAGCGACTGTTTGAGTCAAAAAGCGAGCAACGGCGCATAAAAGGTGATTGAGCCATGGCAACTTTCCGTAATAACATAGATTAAGTCAAGGGTAAAATAGGAAAATCAAAAGACTCTCTTGACGTCACGTGCTAGCCGAAACATGGCGCACAATTGGCACACCACAGCAGACCAAGTGGTCAGCTTCAGGTTTTTATGAGCCAAAGAAAAAAAAAAAGCTTTCTTCAACAACAACAAATTCGCCGGGAAAAAGGATGACGACGACGGAGACGCAAGCGGCGTTGTCTATGGAGTCGTTACCTCTAGGTTTCAGATTTAGACCAACGGATGAAGAACTCATCAATCATTACCTGAGGTTGAAAATCAACGGCCGTGATTTGGAAGTACGAGTCATCCCGGAAATCGATGTTTGCAAGTGGGAGCCATGGGACTTACCTGGTTAGCTCTCTTCCCTCTTCTTCTTCTTCTTCTTCGCGAATCGAGGAACATAGTTGAGAAATGAATGTTGGAGCTCTGGAATTTGGATTTTGTTTGTTTGTTTGTTCGAGAGTGATATAGGTTTCTAGGGTTTGTTTAATCTGATTGCTTGTAGGGCTTTCGGTGATAAAGACGGATGATCAGGAGTGGTTTTTCTTCTGTCCTCGTGACCGGAAGTATCCGAGTGGCCACCGCTCAAATAGAGCCACTGACATTGGATACTGGAAAGCTACTGGGAAAGATCGAACTATCAAGTCGAAGAAGATGATTATTGGTATGAAGAAGACACTTGTCTTCTATCGTGGTCGAGCTCCTAGAGGTGAGCGTACAAACTGGATTATGCACGAGTATCGTGCCACTGATAAGGACCTTGACGGCACTGGACCTGGCCAGGTCTGTTTTCTCAATCTGCTTAGTGTCAATTGTAATCCCTTGCCTGCTTTAAGCTATAATCCATGTTTGTGAGGTTAGATGTCGTCTCTTCTGGTGATTCAAGAACAAGAATCTGTTTGTAGAAGTGGCGTTTATGTTGCTTGGTTTAATTGCTACTAGTTCTTGTATGAATGGTTTTTTCTCTGATGGTGACCTTTTTGCTTGTTGGCCTGTGTTTTGTTTAACATTCTTCTGCTTATATGTTCTTCTTGTGTTTGTTTTTGGAACAGAATCCGTATGTTTTGTGTCGCTTGTTCCACAAGCCTAATGATAGCTGTGATGTTGCAAACTGTGATGAAGTAGAGAATGTCAATTCCACTCCCACCGCCACTAGATGCTCTCCTGATGACACATCTTCTGATATGGTCCAAGAAACAGCTACATCTCATGTACATGCTCAAAATAAATCAGATGACACTGCGAATTGTCCAAGCGACAAGGGTAGCGATGTGAAACCTGAGGATCCAGTGATTAAAACAGAGAAATCTGTCGATCACGGTGAAACTTCTCGTGCCAAAGACCGTAATTTGGGCAAAAGCCTAGCAGCGGTAATACATATTTTCTCTGGTTCTTGTTAATTCTGCGAAATTTGGTTTCTCTGTTTGCACTAAGTATAGCATTCTGTACCACAACTTATTCATCGGGTTCTATAACCAGCTTGTGCTTTCTTGTGCTATAGGAAAATGCAAATGTAAGGGACTTTGCGACCCTTTGTGGACCCAGCTCTACTCAAAACTGTGACCAAGCATATTATCCAGATCAATCAAGCATTGGTTTTGCTGCATCACACATGGATTCGATGTATTCTAGCGATTTTGGAAACCATGATTTTGGAAACTGTGATTATGGGCTACATTTTCAAGATGGTGCCGCCTTAAAAGACGATGAATCCTTGCAAGATGTCTTGGATGAGGTATTCCATATCAATAATCAATCCTCTAGTGAAAGGAAAGACTTTACGCTTCCAAATATGATGCATTGGCCTGGAAATCCAAAACTGCTCTCTACAGAGTATCCGTTTCCCAAAGACACCGACGCTTTTGGTAACGGCCCACAGGTAATCATGATAGCTTTAGCGATTTGTAAGCTAATGATGATCACTTTCTCTGGGACTGACCATAATGTTTCTTCCATGTACAGCACTTTGTTCCTGACACTATAGCTTCCAGATGGGTCAGTAATCACCACGTTGATAGCAAGGAGGGAGTAGACATGCAATCTTCATCCGGGTCTTCTCGAACCTTGACGCCACTTCACAGCAACGTTTTAGGGCAGTATGCTTCAGCATCTTACGCAGCTATGGATCCATTTAACTCCAATGTCAATCAGCGTGATCAGTCATCTTTTGAGCAAAACCCTGTTGACCGTAACATTAGTCCCAGCGACATTTCTGGGTTCAATGCTAGGTCTCAGGAGAATCAGACGGATCTGGACTCTGTTGTGAACCAAGGAACTGCTCCTAGAAGAATTCGGTTGCAAATCGAACAGCCGAGAAATGCAGACACTTATGAAGAAGATGAAGTACAATCAGCCATGTCCAAGGTAAGCTTAACTCCTCTGGCTAATAATAGTGAGATCTACTTTTCCTTATCAAATGACCGTTGATGAAATGTACAGGTCATAGAGGAGCACGAGAAATGCTTCCTTGACAGAGATAAGACAAGAGCACAAGGACATGAAAGCCTGTCGGAATCAGCTAATATAAGGACTCAGGGAACTGCTCATCGGAGAATCCGCCTGCAGACGAGACTGCAGAAGCTTCCCATAAACCCTAGGGACTCAAAATGCAATGAAGAAGAAGAAGCAAACCATAGCAAGGTATACTATATTGCTTTGCAAGTTTTATCAACATAATCTCTAAAAAACAGAGCATCAACATTAACAAACATGATTGAAACAGTGCGAGATGCAGGAAAAGGAAGATGTATCATCATCATCATGGCAGAAACAGAAGAAGCTAATGAGGAGCTTGGTGCAGTGTAGTACTATGGTGATAGTAATGGCGGTGATAGTTGTTTTAGTAGGAATATGGAAAGAGTCAACAGATGCCAAATGTAGCTTCTTGTTTCATCAATTGGATTCCTTCAAAGGCATGTTTACTTGATGATATATAGCGTCATTCTCAATGTTTTTTTTCTTTTTGTATAATCCTTCATGTTTAGTCTGTTTTTCTTGTATGTTTTGTTTGTTTGTAGTGTTTGAGTGATAAAGCCAAATTCTCTTAGGGGTGTTACGATTCAGATTTTGGTTCAGTTTCGGTTCATAAGTAGTATCATAAATCCATATCTATTTTGGTTTGGTTAAATTATTTAGTTTGATTTTAAAATGAAGTAGCTCAATTATAACTAGCTAGCTAATTCGCAAGTGTCCCAACACTAACAACATAAAATTGAGCAAAAAAGAAGAACTATGCATGTGGTTGATTTCCACAAGATTTGATGGTGAATAGACAAGACGAAGAACCTGCATCTTTGCTGACTCAAGTTTTCAAAGCCAAATATTTTAGCAAGAGACATTAATGGAAGCTACTTTGGGACACAGGCCAAGTCATGCATGGAGAAGCATTTATCAAGGTCTCATGGAGTCAAATTCTCATGCATGGAATGAGGAAAAGTTGAGAAATCAAATAGTCTGATGACGTGGAACTCATAAGTCATAAGAAAAATAAGACCCATACTGATAGTAGCTCCGGATATTCCAACTTAGATTTACACAAAAACGGTCAGTATTCAGTGAAATCTGGTTATCACCAACTTACAAAGCCTATTTTATCGAATAATGAAGATACAATCAGGAAAAATGACATTAGTAAACTCATTTGGAGTCTCAATGCTTCTCCAAAAATAAAACACTTCTGGTGGAAATTAAGCTTTAAATGGTGCTCTTCCTATTGCAGCAGAACTCGCTACAAGGCATTTCAAGACATTCTCAGAGTGTCTTCTATGTAGAGAAGGAGCAGAAACGATATCTCATCTGCTTTTCCAATATTGGGTTGCCAAGAAGATATGGGAACTCTCTCCAGTTGATTTACCATTAGGTCAGTTCAATTCTGATCATTCTCTTATATGGAGTATCTTCAAACTTTGCTTGCTATTAAATCCACATCGATAAAAAAAAAACATTTATTTCCTTTCATTGGATGGCGTATTTGAAAAGCTCGAAATGATGTAAAATATTTAATAACAAAAGATGGGGTATTCCTGATATTATACACCAAGCCATTGTGGATTTTCGTTTGTGGAATGATGCTTATTCTGACTTAAGAAGCGGACTGATGTAGCAGGAAAAACCCAAAAAAGAAACCACCATCAACATTCCAGGATATTTTAACACAAGCATCCTCTCCATTTTGCTGTGTAGATGCCTCATGGATCAGCAATAATGACAAGGCTGGTATTGGATGGTTCTTAATTATTTTATTCAGGAGGAAAGCAGATCATTAAAGGCGCATCATTAATTGAGCCTACAGATATATCTTTACAAGGTGAAGCTATCACACTTCAACGGTTCAACGGACACCATGAGCTTCGAGCGAACTCGAGTCAACAGGTCATGAGATCCATGAGATCCAAATGGGCCACCACACTACCTATCCCGAGTTTGAAATGTTTTCCGACTAATACCAGGAGTAGCCAGATCGCCTGTTACTGGACTACCATGTAAACTGCTTGGGCCTTTGGCCCAAACCCAGACTTCCCACATAATTGTGTTTTTGTTTCCAGGGAAGATCGAACTTGGGTGAAGTGGTGTAACACCCCACACAATCCTTTCCTACCACTGGACCACAACGATGCGGGCAAGAAGCTATCACACTTAAGGAAGCTATTCTCCATCACACTTGGTGTAATGCTTATGTGGAGACTCGAAGATAATCTACAAATTTATTTAAAATCTCAAGTACCTAACCCACCAGTATCCATACAAGGTCATTTAGAAGATATCCAAAACTTAGCCAAAGACTCATATCGGTTTAAAGTTATCAACCGAACAGCAAATGTAATAGCATATAAGATAGCGAAGGAAGCAAGGATAAAATTGGTTCCATATGTTGTATCTTGGCTTTTCTGAAAATGTTGTTCTATAAACCTGTTTACTTTCTTTGTCTAATAAGTTAAAATTATCGACAAAAAAAAAAAAGACAAGACAAAGAATGAGATAGTGGCTTCAATGATAGTACTAAATTTTTTTTCCTGAACTTGAGGTTAGCTGATTTTTGTCTAATGACTCCTATGCTATGATCTGTTGAAATCGATAAAGAGAATTAATTTACTGATGCTCTTGAAATTACAATCCTATGTTGATAGTTTCAAGGAGTCAATGAGATTGCAGTTGACATAAAACCATTCCACAGATTCTGACACCGTTTTGCGTTTCGAACTCAAAGAATCTGCGGTTAAAGGAAAATGTAATGGGCCCCGTTAAAAATGAAACGCTCCATTAATATTAATTATAAAACCATCAAATAAGAGACAAAACCATGCATGGTTTTAATCTACTAGTGTCTTTATCTTCATAAAATCAAATCCAAACAACCCATTTTCGGATCTGTTTTTTTAATTAATAATTTATTTATTGTCGTTACATTTAAGGGATGTAGTTTTTAAATGACATTATGGAAACAAGATAAAAGTCGAGCGGATAAACATCATCCGTTTTCGAGGTGGGTCCCGTATAATAAAGATGTGGCGAGGTGCATAATCCCTATACAATGTGCGTTTTCTTTCTCTTTTCCTCCTCAACACTTGTATGTTTTCTATTAGGTTTATTCAAACTAGACGACGAATTTGTTGCAAATTTACATAAGAAAAACAAAAAAACAAAAAAAGTTCTCAATTTATTGGTTCTTAGTAAATAATATCTTAAAATGTTTTCTACCTTTTCTGCTTTAAAATAATCGATAGTTTAAAGAGTTCTTTATAGTTTAAATCATATGATTTTCAACTTATAAGATAAATTTATTTATACTTTAAACCATATGATTTATTTAATTATTTTTATTCAACAGTTTGTTTTATTATTGGTTAAATTATGTTTAAAATAATAATAAATGGTGATTTATTTGATTATTTTAATTCAACAATTTGTTTTATTATTGGTTAAATTATGTTTAAAATAATAATAAATGGGTTTTTGGAAAAGTGTCTAATCTAAGATATATAATATATTAATGAAAATATAAAATAATTACATTCAAAGAAGCACAGGTTTAAAATATAAGAATTTTGCATTCTTACTAGAAAAAAGTAATTTGAGTTAATTTGTAATCCTAGTTGATAATTTTAAAATTGATTTTACGTTTTACAGCTGAGAATTCCAAAATAGCTAAGTATTCGACATGTCGACAAAAAAAAAGCTAAGTATTCGACATAGAGAGGATCATTATTTATCTAATAGCAACGTAAAAGAAACTGCAAAAAGTATGTATTATCTATTCTATGCATACTAAAATTTTCAAAAAACAATAATAATGAAGTCGGTAAAGAGACGTGTGGTTTAGTTAAGTAATAAAAGATCTGAAGTTTTTGTTTAATAATAGGGATCCCTTAATAATAATATAATTTAATGAGAAATTGAGAAAGTAGAAAACCAAGAGCGGAAACTGTAGAAAACACCCCTAGATTTTACTTCCCTTCTCCAACTATATAACTAAAATACAATCTTCTTAAAAAATAAGAGAAACACACACAGAGAAAGAAAAAGAAGAAGAAGATTAAGAACAATACAAGAATGTTAATGGTGTCGGTATTGGCAGATATGTTGAAGGAGTACACGGTTGTGCTCGCCGGAGTTTTGGAGCATCTCTTCTCTCAGGCGCCTTTCCCGAGGAGAATCCGACTTCATATTTTATACTCTCTTCCTTTCCATAGTTCCGATTCCTCTCTCCCTCTTCTCCTTCCTTCTCCTCCTCCTTACTCTCGACCTTCTTGATGTTTTTTTTGTGTGCTTCACTTACGTTTGTACATTTTCTTTGAGTTGAGATGTGAAAATCCAGAGCTTTTGATGTAATTAAGGTATATTTCAATTAATCAATCCTTTTTTTCGTATCTCCTTTTGTGATTTTTTTTTTTTGTTGAGTTTAGGTCAGCTAAAGAAAATTCTATCATTAAGAAAAAATCACTCGAGTTTGAGACCAGTGGTGGATCTACTCGGCTAAATTTGGAAAATTAAAATTGTTTTGCTGAAATCAAGACATTTAACCAAAAATACAAAACAAGCTGCTTACGAAGATTAGACAAGCTAAACCCCAATTTCTGTGGTTTTTTTTTTTCCTTTTTCTTTGCAATTGTTTGGCCAGTCAAATCAAACAAAAATTAAGGCAACATTTTTCTTCGAGAATGTTCCAATATTAAGTAATCCTCTCTTTTAAAAGTAAAACTTGTGTGTTAGGTGGACAACAAAAAAAAAACTTGTGTGTTAGGCATCAAACCGCATTGTTATAGCAGAAATATCAATATGAGTAAGTTAGCATTAAAATAGAGAAACAAATATGGGTTTTGCAGGTTAAGCTTGCCGTGGATCTCTCAAGGGGATCAAATGCATCGTGACCCAAAAAAAATCAAACACAAAGAAGTTGTAATTAATATTTTATATAAATTAAATAAAACATAATGTTTTTCTATTAAAACTAAAAAAAAAAATAATATAGAATATACTTATAGATAGGTTTGGAATTATTATCCCGTATCTGGTCTCCGATCTGATATCCGGTCCTATCTGATCCGTAAAAACTGAATATTCGTGTAGTTTGAATCCAGATCTGGATAATGACATTAAGTATTCAGTTATTTCGGATACGGATCCGGATAATAAATTTTTTAGAAACCGGATATCCGTTATCCGTTTGTTAAATATTTATTTATTTTTGATATATTTATTCATTTTTAAATATTAACGTTAAAATTGTTTTTGGTTTAACTTCTTTATATATGATTGAAATTCATATTTCATGATAATTTTATATTTCAGAATGTGAGAGAAGAACATGAAAATGGATATCACATGGATATAAAGATAAATTAACTTCTCTATTACTATTTTCTTTTTTGCTATGTAAACTTTTAATCTTTGTGCTATTTGAATGTTACTTGAATGTTTTTTAATTTTTGTTATTTGTAACTTTTGCTATAATGATATATTCCAATTATCTATGTTATCTCATTATAAATTAAAAAAAAATTAAAGATTTTTTTTAAATCAATAAAACCGGATATTCGGTCGGATATCCGTAAATATTCAGTTCAAAATGGATATCCAATCTTCGGATCCAGATAGTAAAATTGATTATCCAGTGGATCCGGATATCTTAAAAAGTACTCCGTTCCAGGCCTACTCATAGATATGCATTTATGTTAGTCACAAGGGAGGAAGTTTTGTTCCTCTCTTCTCTTCACTCATTTCTATCTTTCAGAGAGAGAGAGAGAGCACTTTTTCTCCTTTATGTGAATATTCCGATCAATATTGGAGTTTCTTTTCCGTTTTAAACGGATAATAATTTTTGGTTTTAGTCCGGTAATAAGATTCTGACGAGTTCAAATTTTGTTTTGCCCTAACTCTTCTGTGTTTTAGTCCTCTTGTAGGTGAGGCGGCGTTTCAGTTCCGGCAATATGTGTTGCCAATCTATTTCTTCAATCTTTGGTTTTCATCCTCTCTCGACTGGAAGATGTTTTTCCCAGAGTCCCTATCATTTGCCTTAATGGCAAAATGGATGGGTCTTGATTCAAAGGTGAACGGCGGTGGTGATTTATGAAGAAGCAAGTTTTTCAATCACAATTATTCATCGGATCTACAAAGAGGAATTAAAATTGGCGGAGGAACAACGATTTTGGTGGTGGATAGGATTCCGATTGGAGTTTATCATGGTTTAAGCTCTTCGGATTTCAGTTTTCCGACGAAGCTCTGAACATCAACGTTATCAACGGCATCTCCTTACCGTCAACTGATATTTTCTCCTAAGACTTCTACGTGTGTTAAAATTATCAATCTTTATTTCTTATGATTTGGATTATAATTGGGCTTATGATTTGTAAGTTTTGGGCTCCCAAAATGCTGTAACTTGCTCATTTATGGGTTTTCGTTATAAACGAATAGTTGACAAAAAAAGATATGCATTTATGTTTTGCCTTTTTTGTCGATAATTTATGTTTTGCCTATTCTAATATTCTAACGTTGATTATTGTTTTCCTTTTTTTTCTTCGACTAATTGTTTTTTTCTTTTCATATATAAATACTTTGTACCTTTGAAATCCATTATGAATCCTTGAGCCCATATTTTTTATTAGTTTTTGATTAGCTGATATAGTAATAGGGGTTGAAAATCTGTATTCTTGGATTCAATCATGTATTGGTTTTGTAAACTAGTTTAAGCGAGTCTAACTAAATCTTGTCGGTTGATATTATTATATAATTGTGAGTTTTTTTTCTTTCTAATCTATAATAAAAAAGGTGAAGATACATGAAATCATGCAAGAGAGCAAACAAAGAAACATTATGACAATATGCATATATCAGATTTACTTTGCAAATCAAATTTTACTTTCCCTGCTCTGAAATCACCATTATTTTTCCACTATCATCATAGTCTGAGCAATCTAGTGGATTATTCAAATCTTTGATTTATCACTAACATGAATATGATCATAAAACTTTGCATCTGCTGGAAATAACCGCTTCCACACTGAATGTTGGACACCATTCTTATAACAACATCATATTTTCTTTGTTATAATGTTCAAACATAGTGCACACACCATGGTAACCTATAAAAAAATATAAATCTCAAGACAATTATATGTACCTTAATATTTTAAATTTCAGAGAATGATTTTTCACTTTTCTCCTTGCCAAATTTGTACAAACAATCTTCATTCTTATACTCAACATTTTACATGAACTCTATCAACATTCCTGTGGATGTTCATCTGGAGAGATAATCAGTCGATTCAAGTTTTATGCATTAGTCTATTAACAATGCCAATTTGGATTGCATATGCCTCAATTCACAACATCGATATCTACCTTTTGGTAAGCTTTTTTCCTCCCTAACAAATTTGTTGACTTTTGTTTGTTTATTGTTTTGCTTTCGACAGATCATCTATTGTCTTGGCATGCTGTGCCACGTTTGTCTAATCATATCTTGGGTGATCAACAAGATTAATTTTCATGCCGTATAAGCTCTTTTTATTCCTTAAAATTATTTAATTTTATTGATCATCTTTGTTATAAAATTGTTTTGACTTGTTTGTTTTTTTACTTGCAGTATCAACTGGATAAAAGTAACTTGTGAAGTACTCAAAACCAGTTGGTTATGAGTAGATAACCAAGTCACTAATATATTACCTAAGATCTTCCAGTTACATACTCTCTAGAGATTAAGGTTTCATGACCTAATAATCTCTACCTAATTCCAATACTTCCTGTTTCCAAAAACATCTGCTTTCATGTATCTGTTTCTAATTCCATGTGGGTTAGCTTGTTATCAAAATATGAAGTAAATCATCACGTGTTTGTACTCTGTCTTCTGCCACCAATAAAATCATGTGAAAGATGAGAATCATGAGATGATCAGAGAAAGAGTAACTCCATTGCGACAATTTTTTCCTTCCATAGATGCTAGCCGAGAATCCTCCGACCCGACCCACTTGTAATTCCAAACTCGATTATCAATAAAAAAACATTTCGTCCTGAAATACCAAATTGACCCTTGGTTGATATCTACAATCAACATAGCAAACCTAATAATTGGATTTGGAAGGAATGTGTTGGTAAATTTAGTTACGTATTAGTTTTTTGTTGTTGTTGTGCTTTTAAGTATATAAGATATATAATTAAGTTTAAAGTAATATGAGCTTTAGTAGTTGTATTAGTTGGAGATTTTCCACTAGGTTACAACTCTCATGGTATTATTATCCCGACTTGCTGTCTACCGAATAAATGGTATATCGTATGCCAGATTCACTACAAAAAAAGTCATCACTGATAGCACAATGTAATAACACGGTTTGCTAAACTTCTATGAATATGTGATTGTAATTATTATTTCTATTTTATAGCATTTGATAAATGCTAAGACATTATTTCAATAAGCGGGAAGCTAAAATCACTTATTCCGCCAAACACTTAGCCAAAAATTTTCCTTTCCTCGTGCAAACTTCATTTCCCCTCTCTATCGAAAAACCCTAAGATCTCCGAACTAATTCTCTCAGACCAACTCCCTTCACAGGCCACCAATTAAACTCGCCCCCACAGCCGTTGAAGCTAGCCGCGACCAGAAAACCCTTTTGCCGGCCCTAATTTTTTCCCATCACTCTCCATATCCAGATCAAATGGAAGGCATGTCTTCTTTTTTTTTCTCAGCTGATTTCGTTCATCTTTTTTTTTTTTGTTTAAATCGATTCTTTCATGCATGTCGTTAATCTAAATGAAATTTCTGGTTATTTGTGTTTTATGATAGAATTGATTTTAGGGTTTGACTGATTCGATGCTTCAAATTTTTAAATATTTGTGTGATTTGATTTAGGCGTTTAGAACAATTTCGGGTTTAGAAGTGCAGATTTTTGTGATTACAACTTCATATGCTCTATGTAACTTGCGATGCATCTTTTGATAACTTAGAGTTTTAAAGGCTCTAAATGAGGGGTTATCAATCCCTTTTGTCACTTTGCAGTACAAAGGGTATCAATCCATCATGTGTAGACACTAAGATGCAGTATCAGTTCTTAATTCAAACCAAATGAGTGAAGGTTTTATGATTAATGACAACTAAGAACTCAAAACAAGAATTAAAGCTAATGATCAACTTGAACAAGCAAACAAGTAAGCTAAATGAGATGAGAATGTATCTATGATGATGAGAAAGGTCTTAGACATGATAGTGGATCAGGGTGCCTTCAGTGTTAAACTAGTGAGCTAATGAATCATGTGATCAAGCAAGCCATTCAACTTAAACATCATTAATTAAGTTAATCCTCTCATGAAGGTATCAACTTCTATGCTAAAACAGTTTCTAACCTAATCATCATTAGTGAAACATGAATCAACAAGCATTAAGAACCAGTTTAATCTGTCATTTAAGCATATGAACAACCATTCCCATGATGAATAACACTTAAACCTCTAACAATCTTGGTTCAGGCATTTCATCAAACACTTTTGGTGCATGAAATGCCCAGAATCTAGACCACATATGATGTGTATGGATCTAGCATTAAGAACAGGTTGTAGAGAATGGAATATGAATGATCTAACCCATAAGCTCACTAATCTACCACTTAAGCACCCTAATCTACATATCTAAGACCTTAATATGGGGATTACTCACTAATCATGACCAACACACTAGATCCTTTGCAAGATGTGTTGTTAATCATGATTAGAAGTGTGTAAATGAAGATGGAGATGATAGATTAAGAAGAAGACAGCTTTTAAACACAAGATCTCTCAACTCTCTTGATTAAAACGCCCAAATCAGATATTTCTCTTCAAAATGAGTTTTCTTACACAAAAGAGGCAAAGAGATTATGGAATAAAGCTTAAGTCTTTTGGATAAAACCCTAAAAACTATATATAGGTCTTTAAAAACGAACCGGGTCAGCCCGGAACAAACCGGATCCTGACCTGGCTTTAGTGGATAAAATGACGAGTGTGCGAGTTGGTCAGGAGCCTCCCAAGTCGCATGCCCAAGTCGCACAGGTGAAGAAGTAGTCTTGTGAGCCTTAAGTCGCTTAGTCTCAGCCGCATGCCCATCTAGGTGTGTTTTGCGAGTCTTTGTGCGATTCAGTCCTCTTCCTCTTCAACTTGCATGACCAAGACGAAATTTGGGGAGGATATGTGTGCGACTTGGTCCTCCTTTAGTCCTAAGTCGCATGCCTAACTCGCACAACCAAAGAAAGAAGCTTGAACGAGATGAAATCCATGTAAGCTCAGCCGCATTACTCTCACGGTGTAATTTGTGAACCTTCGTGCGGCTAAGTCTTCTTTGCTCCTTAACTCGCATGACCATGTAGCAGGAGCCTTCAGAGGTATGTGCGGGGTGGTCTCCATCACTCCCAAGTCGCATGCTCAAGTCGGTGTAGATTGCGAGTCTTCATGCGGTTCAGTTCCAAGCTTGGCCAATTCGCATGCTCAAGTCGCACGGTTGTGGACTTAGCATTTTTCTTCTCGGGAACCTTAGACCTTACCCAGTGACACCTTACTCGCACATCTCAACACGCAGCTCAACCCCCAGACATAAATCTCCAAGCATTTCGAGTTAACCAGGTCGCAAGACTATCTCGCAGAATTCAGGTCTCCTCGGACCACTTCACATTCAGGCGAGAGTAACTTCCAGGATACTGGTCCAAATGGTGCGATTCCAACTTCAGTGGACAGAAGAATCAGACATATTCAACTTTGGTGAAGGGCTCGAGCTCAGGTGACGTCGGAAAAGGCTCCGTTCCGCCAGTTCTTTGACGCGCGTTGCTTTGGTCTTTTATCAGCTCCGAGACATGCACTGCTTCCGATCGCCGTAACTTTCAGCTCACAACTCCAAATAGGATCTGAAAATTAGACTCGACTCCCTTGATTCTGATGAAGACTTCGGAAAGCTGAATCACAGTGCAAGTCCTCCGTCTCACGCGATCAAAGTAAAGGTATCGTTTGCTCCAAAGAATTTGTCCGGGTTGTTGCACACAGGTGAGAGTCTCTCCATGATCCCAGCTCTAAGTTGATCCCAAAAGTCTCCTAATGACCTTTAAACACTCCAAAAATGCAGGATTTTCTAGGACCTAATGCAAATTCCTAAGCTAAGGTAGAACCAAAGACAAACTCTAATAAAACTAGATAAATGTATGCACGGGACTTAATATTTGGACAAAAATGCAATCCTAAACATGACATATTATGAATATATCATCTTTCCAGTTTTATTTTATTTTTTGTTGTTGTCAAATATATGCAATTTTATACAGTAGAGCTTATGTTATTCTCCTAAACTTTTGATGCATCTGTTCTATTCAGTTAGATTGTTTAGGAAACACTGCAAACTAGATATTGAAATTGCTGTGCATCATGTTTATGCATAACTGCATACTCATTTTGTAATTTTTTTTTG